GCATAGCTATTCTATGTTATATTTGACTGCAAATGATTATGGTCGATTGCTAAGTCCAAACAATCAAATGTCTCTTAAAATACAAAAAACTTCAACAGCTTGAAACTGCAGACTGAAAGTTTTTAATATGCCAACATCATATATCAATACAAAGGAAATTAATTACACTATTTAATGGAATTATGTAAAACAATATATAAATAATATAGTAAGAGTTATTTAAGAGCAAATACACCTTGGTGACGGAGGCAGTTACCGGACAGTGATAATAATTACACAGTAACAACAAACACAAGGGGGAAATGGAAGACTGAAGACTTGGAAAAGGCTATAGAGATAGTCTGTGATAAAAAATCTCTTTTACTGCTAGAGAAAATACTCAATACCAAAGAGCTCCACCAATACATGCATGACCATTCCAGCTTCAAAATTAAGCAAGTTTCAGCAAGGCTTGGTCCATCACCTATACAAAAAAAGAATGAATTAGTAGAGTGGATTATCAAAATAAATAAATTAGGGTATCAGATAGCTTCGCTGCCTCGGACAAAAGGCCCAACAGTTTCCAACAATATTCATGAAAAAAGAATGGTAGCATGTGTTTTATGGAGAAACCCAGAGATAAGCCTATGCACCCCCAACCACTTCCAAGTTTGTAGAGGAATGAAAAAGAAATGATGATGATTTTATTTGCTGCATGTGCACAACCTGGTCTTTGTGGACTAAAAATAGACACACCCCATTTTAAACAGTACAGTTGCATTTACACACTTATCTAGTCTAAAAAATCCTTAAATTTCATCCTGACTATCATTGCTGTTTAGTTTATTACTCAGTTACCTCAGAGAAGTCATTGAATCCACTACAAGGTCGATTTCTGTTCGGCACTGTCCGGAGACTGCCTCACCTGTCCGCTAACTAACTCCACCACCCGGTAGCCTTTAAAAAATTCCTAAAATCCCCAGGGTAAGAATTTCTAAAACTCCTTCATGGATAGAATCTGGTAGACCCACTGCTTTCCAAAGGACACCTCACATCCAGTACCAAGGAATCGTGAGACCAGTGAGACCCTTCCATTCCAAACGTTAGGTGTCCGTAAACTACCTCCGTTACTCTAATTATTAATTTGTGATGATAACAAAAGGGCAAGGCCGATTCATGAAACCACGCCCTTATTTTAAAAGTTGTTGTGACAATAGTACTGAGACGCAGTCGCACTATAGATACTGGATACTTGAGAACCATTTCTACCCGGCGCTATGTCCGAACTAAGTCCGCCAACTCTGGAGCTGTTAGATATTGAACTTAACGAAATTACTGAATGGGAGCGCCTGGGTGTTCACATAAATCTTGGATGGAAATACGAACAAGTTCTTCGTAAGGTTGGTCACTTGGGAATTGATCGATGCAAGCTTGAATTGTTCCGAATCTGGATTACAACAGGCACAAACGTCACTTGGAGAGCAATAGCTGATGCATTGGGGAAAATGGATGAAAATACTTTGGCAGAAAAAATCCGTAACAAGTATGAACCAGTAATTGATGAGCCAGGAAACCGCACCCAGCCAACCGTTAGTGTAAGCGAAAGAATTCAAAAAGATTTTGACAAACTTCAATTCAAGTTTTTTAAACTGCTTTCACAACTCAAGAAGGCCCTTCTCAGGTGTAAGTCTGATGAATTACATGATTTATGTGATTATATGCAAAGTGTAATTCCCAGTCTGCGGCCACATTCGAGCATATCCGCTAACTATTTGCTTTTAGAATTGAAAACGCATTGTGATTTTCTTCAATTTTCACTAATCGAAAGTATTATTACTAAGCATTTGATAGATGATCCAAATTTAAAGAAAGAGTTAAAACGATATAAAAGAAAACTAAAAAAATTCAAGACATCAAAAAAAATCTCCACGCTAATAACTACTGTTCATCAGTACATTTGTGATGAAGGTATCGAGTTAGTGAGGATGAAATTTCAATCTTTTCTTGAGGCAGCACGTATAGAAGTTTTTATTAAACTCTTAAAACAAGTTTTTTATGAAGAATATGAAATTCCTGCTAAAATGAAAGTGATAAAAGGTTGTTTGAGCATTCAATGGTATGCATCAATATCATTGTGTAAAAAGCTAACAGAGTCTTTAACAGCATCAGACAAGCATCAGTTTTTAGAAGCAATTGGCATAATTTATATTGAGATAGCTGGCAAAACCATTTACGGAACAAAGAAGAGCTATGATTATGACACTGAAGATATTTCAGTTGCTTTCTCCAATGCTGTAAGTTGTCAAAACATTGAAGGTTGTGAATTTTTGCTGCATGCTTTTTGCAATACGATACTTGCAAATGAATCCCATTTTCGACCCATTTTTTCATTACCAGAGGAGCCTACCAATATAATGGAAATAGCTTGCTACCATGGTCATGTGCAAGTTGTTTCTACTATGCTTCAGTTTGGGCAGTATTGTGAGCGACTAAACAATACGCCTTTGATGATAGCAAGTGGTCGAGGGCATTCGGCAGTTGTTAAACTACTACTTGAAAGTTCAGTAGAAATTAATATCAATAAACAAGGCCCTGATGGTGAAACTGCACTTCATTTATCATGCCAGCATTATAAAACCGATGTAGGCACGTTTTCTTCTCCATCATTGCCAACAGACCAATCTTGACCTTGATATTGCTGATAACAATGATATGACACCACTAATGATCTCTGTTGGTTCGAATAAGGTAGCTCTGGCTCATCAACTATTAGAATCAGGAGCTAATCCAAATATTGCTAAAAAAGATGGTGACACAGCACTTCATATTGCTTGTTATTATGGGCATGTAAAAATGGTGAGGCAATTACTTAAATTTAATGCTGATCCTTGTGCTCTTAAAGCTGATGGGTGGACGCCATTAATGGTCGCTATTCCTTCAAACCACGTTAAGGTCATCGAAATACTTTTAAAACAGGGAAAAGTTGATCCTAATATGCAAAATAAAAATGATGGCGACAACCCCCTTTTAATAGCTAGCTGGAACAATTGCACTGACATAGTGCAGGTATTACTTTCCAATGGTGCAGATCCAAATATAACTAAACATGACGGGTGGACACCTTTGATTGCTGCTAGCCTATTAGGTCATTTGAGTATAGTTGAAGCACTTTTTCAGAAGGGAGCTTTCATCAATACTCAAGCTAAAGATGGTGTGACACCAATTTATGTTGCAAGTCAAGATGGGCATGCAATGGTTGTTCGTTTTTTGCTTGAAAAGGGTGCAGATTTTTATCTGACAAAGACAGACAGTGAAACATCAATCACCACTAGTCCATTGGTTATTGCATGCCAAAATGGACACAGTAATGTTGTAGAGCTTTTACTTGAAAAAGACATTGAACAGATTAATACAAGAAATCCAGAAAGTGGTGCTACTCCTCTCTTTATTGCTTCTTATCACGGTCAGGCTGCTGTTGTAAAATTGCTACTTATGAGAGGAGCAAACCCATCTATCAAAGATAAAAACAAGCAAACTCCTATTGATGTTACAAAAGACAATTTATGCAAAGAGATTCTCCGAGAAGCTGGTGCAATTGAAACTAAGCAGGCTTTACCACAAAGAATTATCTCAAATGCTAAAAATTTTACTACACGTTTAGTTGGTAACTTAAGACGCCGATTTATTGGATCTTCTAATTAAAGCACTTTTTACTCACAATATTTTAGCTGTATAGTAGTTTCAAAACTCAATTCCAGTTATGGACACCCTTTTATGATGATAGGATTATTGCCTTTTAAACCTCTTTTTATTGTTCTTACTATCATTGTTATTGTTTTTATTGTTCTTATTGGTTAGTATCTATATTAATTTTACTTATTTACTGATTTAGTGATTTATTTAATTTTAGTCAATTTATTTGTTTTGATCTTGCTTATTAACTTTAAAAAGTAAACTGTTGTTGAGTGAGGTTGGGAGGGTGTGGTTCTTGTTTATGCATAGATATTAAAGAGTAAATGAAGTCATTTACTTTAATATCTATGGTTTATGCATGAAATTTGAATGTAAAATCAGAGCAAATTGACTATGTATACATAAAAATTATGATTGAGCTAAAACATTTCTGTAATATTTGCACATGTGTACATCATGCATATGTCATAAACAAAATTTTTAAAATAAATAGTATTATAATCATATCCAGTATAACAATTCTTCTAATAATTCTTCTCTTTTATCAAAAAATCTGGAATAAAACTACTGCCCTGCAGTCTTTAGGAAATGCTCGAGGTATTGGGTAAAATTTCTGACGCCAAACAAATTTATGATATTTATAATATCATAAATATTTAAGTATTTTATTATAACTTGCTACACAACAGAAGTACATGTATATGTGACCATAATTGACAAAAGGGCCCTTATGGCGGGTAGTGAAATTTGTCTTTCTAACCTAAGAAATCCAACTTCCTGAGCCCCATTTATCATAAAATTACTCCACAGGATACAAAAAGTTACCATGAAACTTTTAGAAACAATGATTGTCTAACAAAGCACTCACAGGTTGATATTTTTCATTATAACGATCAATTTTAAAATCCGCCATAAGGGCCCTTTTGTCAATTATGGTCACATATGCATCAGATAAAGTTATAAAATTAGAGAAATCTCTTCTTTTCAATTTTTTAACTGTATTATATAGATAGTGAAAGTATCTTTGTTGCTCAAACTGAAATAGTTATCATCACTCAGCAATAGCAAACATAATCATTGTAATATTCACATAATAAAAACATTATGAATGTATTGCATACATGTAAATAACCCAATGAGCATATCAACTACATTAGCATCATCACAATCTTTTGTCACTAGGAGAGGATATGATGTAACTGCAAGTTCATGACACTGTAATGCACATGTTAATACAATAGTCTGTAAATAAATGTAAGTAAAATTATTGCTGTGGTCTAAGTATAAAACTACAGAACTGAAGAGATCAAGTTCATATTATATACTAGTAAAAGATGATGATAGTGTTGGTGATACTTATCTACTTCAATGGTCTCCTTGTTAGCTCTGAGAGTAACTACCTTCCCTTCCTGTATCCTACTGACTACATGCGTATAACAATGAATGACTATTCTTTTGACGAGATTTTGCTACCATCGCTACTTAAATTTGGATCACGATGCTACAGCTGTGCAAAGGTAAGACTATGAGCTATGTAGCATGAGTGTATTATTATAAACCTATTTTGCTGAATAGATTACTACTGATGGGTATGTTGCCTTTGGCTACTTCTATCACTCCAAGTTTTCATACATTGCTCCATATCGAGATGGAACAGATCTAAATAAAGGAGGGGAGGTTCGCTTTGCTACAATCTTTCCTTCAAAGGATCCCTCAATCTTCAGACAAGTCAATAGCTACTTATCTAATTCAACTGGCAGTAGTGTGTCTGCAGAATGGATACTGTGGACTGAATGGTATGAAATATGCCCTTCTATCAATCAAAGTTGTCACTCTAATCAGGTAAATATTATTTTATTACCATCAAGAAATAATATTTTCTTGCAATAGACTAATCATTTTCAAGTTGTATTAGCTTATCAAAGTAATGCCACATATGCTGTGTTTATATACAAGTGTGGACTCATACGATGGACAAAATATAGAGCTTTTGTTGGTATTTTTAATCACTTCAATACATATGATAATTCAGGATACACTAGCGTCCATCCATTATCTAATACTGATAATGTTACTGACATAGACTGTTATGATGTAGTGTCAGGATGGACTAATATTGTATACAGACTAGATCAAGGTATTATTAATGGATGTAATTGTAACACTTATTATATTAAGTGCTTTATTAATCATATTAGGCCAGCTAGTTTTAAAAGGATTCAGAATTGTATCTATAACATATGATAGCATTATTGTGTCATGGGAAGTTTATCCAAATGATAACACCATACTATCCTTGAATGTCGCTGATTCCCAGCAAACAGTTAACAAGACGATTAATGTTGCTGGATACAATAATGTGTATACTCATAATGGGGAGGTTTATATGTGCAATGTTTATACTTTCAAGTTGACTCTACCAACAGAAAAAACTGGATGTAATGAAAACATTAAAGTCATATCAATAGGTACAGGGAATTATTATTAATACCGGTAGTAATAGTGATTCCCCTTCCTTATAGCATTGACACCAAAACCTGAAAATGTATCTGCATTATATCTAACCAATGAAATATTAACAATAAGATTTCAAGTAAGAGCATTTGCGCTATACACTATAAGATTAATTATATCACAATAGATACAACAGTGCTTTATAAATAAAGTGCAATTGATTCTGTTTGAAGCTAATGGACACATTAATACATCAGATCCATTAGATATTAACAGTCTTCAATACATTGATGAGTTTTATATTATACACTGGAATATAAAACTAAATGATCATTCATTGTATTACTTAACAGTATCAGCGATTGGTACATATGGAACTAGTACTTCTGATCATGTAACTGAAATAAGTAAGATACTATTATCAATGTATGGTAAGTGTATGTATGTACTTATTATAGATACATATAATGTGAAGGATATAATAATAAAGAGGAATGAAAATATTGTCTGTTTTACTTGTGTTACTGAAGTGTTCAATGAATGTCAATTGATGATAACAACACTGATACCACAATCAATACAAACTAATGGAACATGTTATTCATTTACTGATAATGGAACATACACTGTATATGCACATGATATTGAGAATGGAATAAAGATACTGACACCAGCAATAGTTATTGAATACATAGTTGACTGGATTAAACCAGTTTTACAAATGATACCATCACACACAGGTTAGCAATAATGAATTCATAGAGTGACATAACAAACATTATAGAGACAACATCTTCTGCTGTTAAAAGTTTGAACATCACTAATGAAGACAATGAAAGTATATTTTCATCTCTAATCTGAATTAATTAAGATACCTGTCCATAGGTAGTAACTATATCAATCAGTCATACACTAGTGTAATTCTTGGTGGTCTATTTGCATTCTCAACATGTATTGTGCTCATTTTATTGATAGTATTGTTGGTAATACTCAGAAAAAAAGGTACATAAATTTCATTTAAATTTTAATTGTTTTTTTCTATTTATGCAGTAGGCAACAATACTAAGTCACAAGACATATACGACATTCCTATCAAAAGTGAAGCAAATTCAGCACATAAAATGAAGAGGCTAAATAGTGAAATAGCAACATCTCAAAACTGCTCCTACAGTGGTACCACTAATATTTGTGATACACCAATATATGATGATATAGCATAAGAAGTCCCACCATCAGGCACATCTACAATGTAGTTTTTTTTCATGAAATCAGTCTATACTATACAAGTTTATTAATGTGTATGGGTTTGTAATAAACATGTACACATGCTTTTTGTTAAGAAATTTTTGTACAGAATAAAGTTACTTCAAAAAGTTTAGTAATAGCAAAAATTATTTCAAATCAATAACAAATGAAAAAGTTCATAACTTTTTGTCTTCAAATTTAAATTAGATAGGACTATTTCTACATTCTACATAGATTAAACTCCTTCAGGTTATCAAAATTTCAATCATAACAGTTATGTTATTTTTAATTAACTAAGACAGGATGCATATCTTACATAATACAAACCAAGACTATTTCAATAAAAAACAAAGAGAATTAATGTGTAAGGATACCAGTGAAAGATGATGATAGTGTTTGTGATACTTATCTACTTCAATGGTCTCCTTGTCAGCTCTGAGGGTAACTATCTTCCCTTCCTGCATCCTACTAACTACTCAATACTTGATGGCCGTCTTGATTGGGCTGTAAATGTGTCACTGCCCTCCCCAATAAAATTTGGATCATCATGCCATACTGAAGCATGGGTTAGCTAAACTGTAATTAGTACAAGACTAGTAACTTATTATTTATAGATAAGTACTAATGGACTGATTAGTTTAGGAACAATATACACTGCCTACAGTCCCAATTTTTTTTCTATTACTACTCCAGTCATTGCTCCATATTGGGATGACAATGACTTACGTCAGAAAGGTCAAGTACATTATGCTATTATAACTCCAACAACAAATCTTTCATTGTGCAATCAAGTCAATGATTACTTATCTAATTCAACTGGTAGTAGTGTATCTGTTGAATGGATACTGTGGGCCTACTGGTATGATGTATGTCAATATCGATATGAATACTGCCACTATACTGAGGTTAATAGTATTTATGAGTTATATTAATACTTTTCTTGTAGTCTAATTATTTTCAGGTTGTATTAGCTCATCAAAGTAATGTCACATATGCTGTGTTTATATACAAGTGTGGACTAATACGATGGACAAGAGAAATAGCTGGTGTTGGTATTAACAGTGGTGATGGGTATTATATCATTCATCCACTAGCTAATACTTACAATGTTACTAACATAGACTGCTATGATGCAGTATCTGAATGGACTAATATTGTATACAGACTAGATCAAGGTATTATTAATTAATGTAACATGCTCTTATATTAGTTATTAGTTATAGATAAGTTTGAGTTCCTATCCATTACACCTCACAGTATCACAGTATCATGGAATATCATCCCTAACAACAACAGTACACTTATTCTGAGTATTACTGATTCACTTCAAACAGTTAATGAAACAATTAACGTTACTGAATATGACAATGTATACAATTTTATTACAAACCTCTTTTCTTGTAATGTATATACCTTCAAACTAGCACTGCCCGTGTCAAGTGAATGTAATGACAGCATTAGAATCATATCAACAGGTACAGCTAATAAATTATTAATAATAGAAACTCTTTTTCTTTATAGCATTGACACCAAAACCTGACAATGTATCTGCATTATATCTAACCAATGAAACAATAATCATAAGATTTCAAGTAAGAATAATTGCACTATAACACAATAATTGTTATTACCATGCAGGTACAATGCTTTATAAATGAAATTCAACTACTTTTAGTCAAAGCTAATACTTTAAATACATTAGGCCCACTGAATGCTGACAGTCTTCAATATAGTGATGAGTTTTATATTATAC